TAGTGACTTTGACCAGGGCAGTTTCTGTGCTGTGAAATTGTCAGAAAACAGATCGGAGGGGTTCGAAACAGTTATTTGCAATGAGGTGGTTATGTAACTGAAATGTGACAGCCCGTTCTAGAATTTTTGCAAGAAAGGGGAAGCTGGAGGTGGGGCAAATTTTTTTAGATTGTCCAGAGCCATGTTAGGCTTTTTGGCATGGGCGTAATGGCAGCAGTTTTGAGGACCGTTGGTACAACACCAGTGCTCAAGTATTCATGTATTATATTGAGGACAATAGGGCAGAGAGAACTGAAACAAGGCTGAAATAAAATGGAGAGAATGGGATCTAATATAGAGGTGGTGGATTTCATATGTGAAACCAGTTCAGTGAGGGACGCAGAGTCAGGATGAGAGAAGTTGGAGAGGAGTTAACCAGAAAAGTTGGACAAGCAGGGAGAAGGTGTGGAAATTATATGCATTTCGGAAAGAATGTGATGCAGGATGTTGTCGATCTTGGAGCTAAAGAAATCTAAGAATGTGTTGCAAAGTTGGGATGAGGCAGGTAATGTGATGGGGCAGTAAGGCTTTAGCAAACTGTTGATGGTGGAGAAAAGGTGTCTAGGGTTGTTATGGTTATTTTCAATGATGTGAGAGAAGTAGGTGGATCTAGCAGACTCTATCGTATCCTGATATTCAGACGTAAAGTAACCTTTCCAGGCCTGATAATGTACATTTAGGCCAGAAAGACACCACCGACGCTCAAGTTACCAGTGTGCTCAGGTGTATTGTTAATTTAAGATGTTGTATATTCTAGCTGTTGAGAGACATTAGGAATTGACAAATATAATATAAAGTACAATGATTGGTCCCATCACCTTTAAGATTTACATTTGCTTTTTCAACTCCAAATTAAGCCTCAGGTTGGTCAGATACAACTGTCATGGCCTTTATACATTTTCCTTACTCTAATGCTAGGAGGATAAAACAGAAAAAACATTACTGCTGTATATAGCATATGTACTGTATATAGTGTATTTATTCAAATCCGGCATGTGTATTCAACATGATAACTGTTAATAAAAGTTCCTGTTTTTATAAATATTGTTTTAATCTCTGACTCTAGGCAGTTTACTAGATTGAGTTTGCATTTTGTGTTATATAAGTCCTTCAGAGGTCTCAAACTAGTATAATGGATTTACTGGATCTGAATACTCAGGGTAAAAATAACTTTGTTTACTACGCAGAGAACGAGGGGCCTGAATATTCTAATTAAAATTAATATTAATGAAATGTCAACAGCAAAAAACAACAACCTTTTGTTCTCTGCGTGCTTTTAAAGAAAAAGGATTGCCTCTTTTGGAAGTTTCAAAACAATATCGGTGGTATTTAACAATATAGAGAGTATTTATTAATGTCAGAATCTGAATGCTCCAGTCTTTCCACATTATTAATTTATTTAGTTCTTGATAGTCAATTTAGTTCAGAGCACCATGTTGTATTTTGGAAATGCAATACACATAAAAGAGCAAACTGCAACTGAACGGTGCTATCATTTCTTTAAGCGTACTGACATTTTCTTGTTCATTGTGCATGAAGAAAAAATTTTACAGGCTTGAAATAAATAGTGTTTTGGGAATAAGTTTAGGACCGTTACTGAAGTGTGCAGTGGAAAAGTTTTCTGAATCTTTGGACTTGTAGTATTGAGTGATATACCAACTTACATGTTTTCTATAAACATTTGTACTACAAGATATGGCCTCATGGTCAATCTTGAAGTACTAATGATGGTAAAAAAAGTACTTTAGTAAGTACTGTTCCCTTTGCATGTACAAGCTCTGCAGTCACGAATTATCTATATCTTCGGGGAAAAAGTCAACAGCCTTACAGGTAAATTCCCTTTTGCTTGAAGCTTATTAATCTTTCATGTGCCATTCTAATTAAATTTTAATGTGCTCTAAACCAGTTAAGCAAAAAACAAAAATGAATGTAGAAAATAAAATATGAAAAAGGAAAGATGAGTTTTTAGTAAGAGGTGCATTTCCCCCTAGATGCTGGGACTACACTCTGACCAAAGGGCTCTTATTCAGTCTGCTACTGTACCTTTGATTGTGAAACCTCACTTTCTCTTTTTCTAGTACTGTATTTATTAAAGTGAAAAAGGTTAAAGGGGAGGTGTATTCTTTATCCATAGTACTTAGGAACTAAATGTGAACTTAGAAGACAAACTTGTTTACTTGTTTTTCCCCTGTTTGTGCCTATTTGAAAAATACATTTGTGTGAAATGTAGACAAAACTGCTTTCGGCACCTAGTAGTCTAAGTGTCTTGTTTCTAGGAGTCCTTTCATAGAAATATGTTGTAGCCCATGCCAGGTAAATGTGTAAAATGACATGCATTTCTTATGCTGGTTCTGTCTGGGGTGTTTGTTTTCTGTCTGCTTTGAATGTCACCAAAAATGTCGAAAAAGTACAGAACTGTCCCAGCATGAATTGTTTCTTCAAAACATTCTCACAGCTGACTGCAGCAAAGTGTGTGAAGGCACTGTCCCCTCTAGTACTGTACAGATCTCACACAGCTGCTTTCTTCAGAATATCAAAAAGGCCACAGATGACAACAGGATATTTGGCCATAAAGCTCACCTGGGTCTGCTTCTCTTGTCTTACTGCTATTGCAGGTTGTTGCTAGGATCACATGCCCCCCAAAGTACGAAATAAATTCAATGACCTCATTCCCCCAGCCTAGAAATGAACACAGGACCCTGGGACAGGTCCATATCATGTATGGAACATGCAAGAAATCATGCACAGTAAAAATCAAATAAAAGCTATATTCATTATTTTGTACTTAAATATTCTAGTACCGATTAAAAAAAAAATAAAACAGCTGTGGCTTATTGCATCACTTTATTGTCTGTGACATACCTGCACATATAATACTGGGGTAAGTGATCCATTTTTACAATACATTTCAATTGTAATAGTTCAGCAAAGCTTTGAAGAAAGGGTTTTTTTCTTTGGTGCCTAATACTGGAACTACATTTTTGGCAAATTATTAAATGATCTGGGGGGTTTGTGACTCCTCGATACCAAAATTACAGACATTCTGTAAATCTAATTAGGATATATTACTTTTAAAATTAAAAGTAATTCTGCTATCCTCTATTGGATTGTGACTTATTTAATAGGAACAGATGATGATTTGTAAGCAAATTAATTAATATTTTTGATTTACTTTTGTTATGTGATGCTGATAAAAAGGCAAAACATGTTTTTTTGCATTTTTTTACTTTAGAACTATTGTGCTTTCACTCATGCTAGACAATTCAAAAGTTTTTAAAGAACAATGTCAAGAGTATTATGGTCTGTAACCTAAGCTCAGCAGATCCACACGGGTTTTATAAAGGAGTGCAGCACTAAGAGACCAGCTGTCATCTGTTAGGAAAAATAGAACAAAATGAAAAATATTTAGTCATCAAATTGCATTGCCCTCTGACTCATGTGAGTTTATTATTGCCACAATTGTTTTTTTCCAAATTCAGAAATGGATTTATTGTCCTTTTTTGTATTCTGTGTATGAAATGCCATGGATTTACTGCAGTGGAAAGTAAAATTAGTCCTGACTCTAAGCATTTACAGCAAATTACATTTAAAACCTTACCTTCCTACTTTGAGTACTTTGTGTTTCACTCATTTACACAATATCAGATCCACTGATATCCAGACGGCAGAAAGACAGTCTCTGAGGTTTCGGCTGCTCTTTTTGTAGCTTAACTCTCCTTTTTTCAAGATTCGATACCAGCACAACAACCAGGTATATTCTAAAATGAAGCTTACTTTTTTAATAAATAATATATTCCTCTTTTGTATATTCATTCCATTGTGCAAGGCTAAACACCATATCAGTTAGTACGTCTTAATGCTCAAGAGCTTAATGTGAGAAGTTGTAGTCTGGAAAGTCCAAGTTGTAGTGACCAATGTTCGGTTCCAGTGAAAAGTAACTTTGCCATTTCAGTCTTTTGTTTTCGATCTCTGTCTTTAATTGTCTATTTTTGTAAATTGTTTGTGGGTTAAATCATTAGAAAGAGAAAGAAGCCCCTTTTGACATAAACTACTAATTCAACATTGCATTTCTGGCTAAAGACTGGTATTACATAGTGAATCCAAGAAAAACTCACCTCCTGTGTATCGGTTACGTTACTACAGACTAGTTTGCTGTTGTCTGGATGTTTTCATTTTTTGACAAAATTTATGTTTAAAAACAGGATAAAAAGAAAAACAAACTAACTGAGTGGAATGGTAAGAATGTGATTAGAATGGTAAATTGACCATTTTTGTTTAAGTAGTTGATTTTTTAGATCATTTCTTAGAAAACTTCATATATTGTACAGGGTTGAAACTTGTAATATAACTGGTATGTTATAATTAATCACTTTTGCTCCGGATAAATTAATTTCACTAGATATTTTTATAAAGTACAGTACTGTAGTTCATACTGTGTATATTGTGTGTGCCAGTGTGTTGGTGGTAGGCTTGATACTGTTTTAGTCGGGGAAGAATTAACCTGTATTCTTTTAGGGTTTCTGGCTCCCTCTCGTGGTTGGAAATCTTCCATACAGTTTTGACTTCACGCAAAGTTGGTTTCAATATGACAAGTGCTTTCTGATTCTTTACCAACAGCCATAAAAACCCAAACCAAGATGTTGCATGCAATTTTTTTAAAGGCTTGAATCTTAAAATATTTTGATTTTCACTTACCAAAATGCTTTTTTTAATGTGACCTGCTACAAGAGTATTTTCCCCCAAATGCTTTACAAGCAGTGTTGAAAGGAAGTGCTTATCACAACAGCTGAAAACAAAAAGCCGATGAATACTAAACCAGAGCACATAGAGTATATGTTCTGGGAATTGAAATGGGAGAACACAACACAGCCTGGAAATGCAGAGCTGACGTATGTTGCAGCAATATTGCTGCTGTGTTGCATCAGTGAGTTTGTCCCACACTTAATTTCTGTGTATTTCAGGGCAAGCTGGTGAAGTACTTCAGCCGACAGCTCTCCTGCAAGCGCAAGGTGGCCGCACAGGAGCGCAGTGCTGAGCTGGAGGGGTTTCCTCACCTCCTGCACTGGTTCCGCATTGTGGACATGCGGAAGGAGGTCATGGAGGTAATGGAGCAGCAATCACCCAGCTTGCTGTGCAGATTTGCTCCATTTTCTTGACAAAAACCAGCTTTTACACACCTGCACATTGCAGCTGTCTCGTTCTAGAGCTGTTTCACTCATCATGAGAGCCAAGGATGTCCCATTTATTAGCTGTAGAGGGCGATCTACAGCTTTGGTATTCAAAGAGCTGCGCCCTTCACATTTGAATAAGCTGAACAGGTTCTCACTCATATTCAGTGGATATCAAAAGTCTACACACCCTTATTGGAATTTCAGCTTTTGTGATGTAAAGGCTGAAATCTAGACAAACCTTTTTTCACCTTTCATAAGATCTTGTAACCAACAATATTTAAGTGAAAAACAAATGGATCGCTTTTAAGAATAATGATTTAAGATAAAATAAAACCTCCAATGCCTTGGTTGCATAAGTGTGCACACCCTTTAGCCAATACTTTGTGGAAGCACCTTTTTGCTTTGATTACAGCAGTAAGTCTGTTTGGATAGGTCTCTAGTAACGTAGCCCACCTGGATTTTACAATTTTTTACAATCATTTGTTTTTCACTGAAATCTTGTTGGTTACAAGATCTTGTTACAGGTGAAAAAAGGTCTGACATGATTTGTCTTGATTTCAGCCTTTACATCAGCAAAAGCTGAAATGTCAATAATGGTGTGTAGACTTTTGATATCCACTGTATATCTGTACAGGATGGATGTGCACTATAGTCATTTACACGCTCTCCTGTGTTCCCCATGTTGCATGAGAAGGTCTTCTCTCACACTTCTCTGCCCTCTCTTACACTGTGAAGAGAGTAAAGCCCCTTCAGTTTGGGACTTCCCATGTTGTTCTGTCTGGGGGAATCCCTGTTTGACTCCTTTCGGTTAAGCCTCTTAATTTAAAGAAACACAACACTCACAAAAGAGGAATTACAATAAAAGACATAAATGATACATACCAGAACTCTTGACGAAAGATTATGTGTTCCTGGGAATTTCCGTCATTCAAAACAAAACCTTCCACTTACAGTATTTGTAGAATTTTCCAAGGATAACCAAGACTGTGGTGTTGGCTGCCGTAATGCTCAGGTGTAAATGTCTGCAAGTTTGAGAACATTACATACATTTCCATTGATTCTTAAAGGGTTCAACAAAATTGTCCTGTTGGAATAACAGCACCACAGCTTTTCTGACATTTACCTGGTGGACACTAAGGCTGAGTTTGGGGGCCAGCGTGAATGACGGGCTCTGTCCACTGTCTCTCCTCTGTGTGGCTGCAGGAGATCACCCCTGGCCAGCTGACGTTGGAAGCTCTGCTGGAGATGAGCGACGAGCAGGTGTGTGAGACGGTAAAGAAATATGGCGCAAACCCTGAAGAGTGCGCTCGGCTCAACGCGTCCCTCTCCTGCCTAAGGAACGTCCATAAATCAGGTAAGAAATATTTTGCCACTGTGTGTTCACGAGTCAGTTGTGAATGTTTGGGCTGGAGAACTACTGTAAGGGCTTAAGTGGTGGTGGAGGGGAGTCCCCATTACCTGTAAAGCGCTTTGAGTGGAGTGTCCAGAAAAGTGCTATATAAGTGTAAGCAATTATTAATTATTATTATTATTAAGGACAGAAGATTCAACATGAGGAGTGCTGAAAATGAACATGAAGATGCTGTCGGAGGTTCAGTGGAGCCCATCCATGGCCCTTTCTTGCACTGTTTTCAAATTATGGGGATAATTTCAAATTATCTCCTGTTAATCTTGTGCATGCGCACCCAGGTATAATATATATATATATTCAAGTTTTGCATTTTTGTCTTTTGTCAAAACATTGCAGGACTAGTTTAAAAGGATTATAGATTTGTTCCTGGCTAAAATGTTTTTTGTTAACATGGCTTACATGTTGAAACTTGTCCTGGTACATATTCTTACCATTCAGCAAGCACTTAAATAGAACTGTTTTCAGTTCTTTATAATAAGACGAACTGAATAAGAACAATAATTCCACTTATACATATATATTACACTTATATAGCACTTTTCTGGACACTCCACTCAAGGCGCCTTACAGGTAATGGGGATCCCCTCCACCTCTCCACTTGGATGATGCGACGGCAGCCATAGTGCATACAGTACACATTTAATCAATGTTTTTGAGAAAAATATGATTTATTTTAATCATTATTTTAATTAGTATGAGGAGTGTTTGACAGTGTCTTTCCCACCTATGTCTATACATTTTTATTTAATAAACAATAAGAGCTCTTTAAAAAGTAGGAATAATATCAAGTTGAAACAGGTTTACTCACTATATTGCTTGAAAACGTCCCGCATAAAGAGATTGTGAGACTATATCCTGATTGCAGAAAACAAATAAAATAGTTTCAATTAAATCTTCAATAAGCTTAATCGAGCAAGAGGTTAATTGGGATTAAAACGTAAATGTAGAGAGGTTCACTTCAGTACCAGTACTTGGAATCATCGCTTGTATTTATACTTCATAACAGCAGAGGGCAGAAGCGGCAACTGTATCACTAGAAGGCCGTTTAGTACTGTATTTTGAAATAGACACAACTATAATTCAGATGCAATACCCCTATACTGCCAGCAGATGGAAGGGTAACCTTTTAAATATAAAAAATACTTTATTTACATGGTCTCAGAAATAGAATTACGCATTTAACCTTATTTATGATCTCAAATCACCACTCAATTTGATAATTTATTGTTTATAGTGTATTCATTGAAAAAAGAGAATGTAAGTGTATTATTTTTTAGAAATATAATTGGACAGCTGCATGCTTTAAGATCACTGCAGTCTGCTTCTTATAACATGTTCTTTTATATCTCATTGTGAATTAAATTAAATCTCTTTTTACTGCTTTGCTTATTATAATAAGCAAAGTTTGATGCTAACATGATTGAGGTAGGTGATTTAAAGGTTTATTTTACACAGCACTGTGAAGGTGGTGTTGTTAATAATGGCAACAGTCTGAATAAGTAATGTAGAAAAACTAAACATAGGACATGAGAGGGGAAATTGTTCATCATGTTGTCTTCACAACAACTAATACAAGTTGGCTACCAACAGCTTGTCCTAGTTCAAACATATTTTGTCATTATGCCTTAAATGCACACCGTATTCTTGTGAATTTAACAAGTAGTGTACATGTTATAATGCTTAAAGTTAAAGTCCACAAAATATTCTCGCAATAATATAATATATTAATCCAGTTATGTGTGTTTGAATAATAAACCATATTTCATTATTACTGCACCACAGACTGCTTTTTTTAATAACAAAGGGAGAAAAATAAAGAAATCTTATTGGTTCATTGTAGTAAGAATCATCCCTAGAAAAATATTGAAAAATGACTTCAGTTCAACTGAATACATTTTAAATATTTATATGTGGCCTTTTTCAATGCAGTATGTGAATTAAATATAATTATTTTTTGATTTTATTAATTAATAGAAATTAATAAAATTGAAAGAGATAATGTACTTTTTACCAATTTACTTTTCTAACTAAAGTCTAAGCTGTATTTCCTCACTGGTTCAATTTTGCAAACAAATAAATGTTGCTTGCAATGAAGGTCTTGGTATTTTATGGCAATATAAGATGCTAAGAATAAAGGGGGTATTTAAAAATCCTCACCTTAATTCCAAGTTCCTTAGAAGACTGGCATGTTGGAGAATAAATGTGACAGTTGGGGCACCATCTTTGATAAAGATGTGCCCTGCTTGGAGACGATGATCATTGATGTAGACACGCTCTGGGAGAGTTTTGAAGTCTCGGCCAGCAGTTGCAATATTTTTTTTTACAAAACTGGGCCACAGCCCATGTGCTTCAGTAAGGTACCCCTGTGAATAAATCCTACTCGTGCTTTGCATTTTTCAGAATAAGTGGATGGATGTTCCAGGCTTTGCTGTCTGTATTTTTGTGACCCTGTGTTTGTTTGGGGGAAAAAAAGAATTACGACAATGGACTGGCATCCCATCCAGGGGGTCTCTTCCCCATTATTGCCAGGATAGGCTCCGGCTTCCCACGACCCTGAATTTGATGAAGTGGGTTGCAAGTGCATGGATGGATAAACATTTTCCAGTAAATGTAGCTTGGAGTGTGTGAAATAAGTTTGTGTAGCCTTTATATGTCTTTCCACCTTCTTTACGATGCTACCTACAAATCAGTTATTGCTCTGCAGCAAATATTGTCCCCTTATTGTAGACACAAACAGCACCCATGACATTTACACCACCTCTTATGGTCTTTTTTTACCTTCCTTGCAAAACGCTGTGCTTTAGTGCCATAATTATTAGTCTTTCTTTTTGCTGTAGTAAATTGAAGGAGAATGTCATATTCCTCCAAAGAATGCTCTCATCTAATTTTTTGGTCTTTAAAATTCCTCATGAAGCCCAGAACATCCTTTAACATCCCCCCAAACATTTTAATTTTAAAACTAATTGGCAAAAATGACCATCTATAATGGGTTTACCCTCAGTGGGGAATTTGTGTATGAGGTCGATGGAAGGGCTGGATTTAAGCCATGCTGTTAGTGGAGAGTGGAAATATAAATCTCTACAGCTGCTAGGCCTAATTTCAGATGAGCAAATATTTGAGCTTTATTTGAACCAGTGTTGAAGGTGTTCACAGCAGAGATCCTGCCATCTGCACTAATGACATTGTAGTGTATTTGCCTTGTGATTCAACGTTATAGACTTTGTGGAGTCGGTCAGTACTAATGTGCCTCATCTTTCCCCCCTTTCCTGAAGATCTGAATGTAATAAGGTAAAAAAAAACATTCATCTAATGCATAGCCAAGTAATTTGGTTTAATGAGGGATTAATGAATGTCAGACTTGCTCATATTTCAAAGCTTTAACATCCCAGACACTTCAGTACTAACCAAAAGAACTAATTGTACGTGATCCCTAACAATACTAACAAACACAATGAAATGTTTTAGAATTTAAAATGGAGAACTGCGTCAAATCAAATTCTTCATTCTCTTATTATATCTGCTCTGAAAGCCATGCAGTTTTGAAAAAGCAGCATTCTGAAATTTGACATAATCTTCTGCAATGTAAGATTCTTACAGTCTTTTTAAAGCATGCTCTACAGTGATAACAGTGTAGATATAATACTCTACAATCTAGAGTGTCAATTTTCAATCTTGCAGTCTCTACTGTTATGTAGTGGTAATAATAATTCTCTGTATTCATATATAGCATTTTCATTCTCAAGAACCTCAAAGTGCTTTAAATATCCTGTATGGAAGAGCAGCCAGTACCTGGGTCATGTGCCAGCTGCTCCACTAAACAGCACATTAGGTAGAGATCAGGTGAGAAATTGTTTCACCAGTTTGATTAAGAGGAAACTTTTAACACCCTTTCAAAAAAAAGTGGCTTTTTTCATGACCCTCATACAGCATAGTGTCTTGTCCAGAGCAAAGAGTGCCACCTACTGATCCCCCAACACTACCTACAAAAGCAACTTGACTGCTGATTATACTGTATATGGCTGCAAGGTGACACCTCTTCTGCCACTAATAATAATAATAATAATAATAATAATAATAATTGCTTACACTTATATAGTGCTTTTCTGGACACCACTCAAGGCGCTTTACAGATAATGGGGATCCCCACCACCACCAGTGTGCAGCCCCACCTGGATGATGCCACAGCAGCCATAGTGCACCAAAAACACTCACCACACACCAGCTATTAGCGGGGTGGAGAGCAGAGTGATGAAGCAAGTTCATAGATGGGGATTATTAGGAGGCCATGAATAGTAATTTCCCATGATGGGGAAATTTGGCCAGGACAACTGGGTTATACCCCTACTCCTTTCAAGAAAAGCCCTGGGATTTTTAATGACCACAGAGAGTCAGGACCTTGTTTTTATGTCTCATCCAAAGGACAGCGTCTTTTACAGTAAAGTGTCCCCGTTACTGTACTGGGGCATTAGGACCCACACAGACCGCAGGGTGAGCGCCCCCTGCTGGCCGCAGCAGCAACCTTAGTTTTTCCCAGGAGGTCTCAAGAACCAGACTCATACCTGCTGAGCTCCAGTGGGTTGCCAGTTGGGAGTTTCAGGGTGATATGGCTGGGTGATAATAACCATAATAATAGCAATATTAGAATTTCATTTATAAGTGCTTATCAAGAAACTCAAAAGTGCAATAGTACAATAGCATTCATGTAATACACAATGGGAGAAAAAAGAAAAGCTTAAGAAACTGAGGAATGAAACCAGTAATAAAACAAAATTAAGACCATAAGAAAGGTTACAAATGAAGCCCATCTAGTACATTTGGAACACAGTAAATAAATGATCAAAGGATTTTATCCAGCCTTTCCTTGAAAAAGTTGGATAGTTTCACATTCCAACAGTCACAAATCATACTAGACATAACCTTTAGTGAATTTTGGTTCGTGTTGTGCGGTAGTTTAATAATATTTATATTGTCTTACCTACTTCTATAAAGAAATCAGTCAGCCTGTATAGATACTACCTTTGGTCATTACATTCTTTGTTATTTTCAAAGAAACCAGTTTTTACGTCAGAAAAGTCAATAACAAGATCTCTGTTGATTCTGTTCATTTTCACCACATAATGGCAAAGTTTACAAACAGAAACAGCTTTTCATTTGTGAATTGGTGAATACATGTCGGAATGATTTTTGTCCTATGAGTTGTAAAAGCTTGCATTTTTGCGAGGTGAAGGGCAAGCCCATTAAAATGACAGCTTTTAAATTGATTACTTCAAAGTGGTCGCATTTTAACCTTTTCTGTAATCCTTGTATATCACGTCAGTAATTAAACCAGATAAAGGCCCAAGACATTTCACTGCTGATAAAGGAACAATGGCGTCGGCTGTAGAGTAATTAAGTGTCATCATTGTTGCAAAGCTGTTCTTTTGGGCTTTTTCTTGTATTTATAGTTTATCACTAATTAGCATCTAGTGTACCTGGTAGCAATTAACATAAATCATTCTATAAATGTGTAACCATAAATCTTTTTGACTACATTATTGTTAAATTCAGACTTAGCTTATAACTTCACACTTAACCGGTGGGTTTCGGTTTATAGCAGTGTAATGAATAATACCAAGCACTCTTGTGGGCCATGCTTTGGACCATAAAATAAAAGCTCACTTTTCACTTTATTCATGATGATCCTTCTAAATCAAGACAAGTCCTTATGATCTTTTTATACCACTTCTTATATACTGCTATACTTACACTGCTAATTTCTGTTATAACGATCAGCTAAAAAACCTGAACAACAGAAGACAAACTGTAGAGATATTGTTTGTATTTTGTAGTGAAATAAGGATCTACTGTGTATGAAACAAAGTACACCTCTAATTAATGAAATCATGGACACAGTGTAATTGTTTTAAATAAATTATTTGTGTGTATTTATAAAACAGGTCTCCAAACAAGATCTTGCAGTCTGACTCCACCAAAGCTTCTTTGGAAGTATCTGATGTTCTACTCAGAATAGTTTGATTATGTAATTTGATCACATTTCCATTGCTCGAAACTCTTGGTTTAAACTGGCTTAGCTTAAATGGCCTCTCTCCTTGACATCTTTTGTCTTGAGGAAAAAATGAGGCACTTTGCATGTTATATCTGTTTATTGCTTTATCTCTCAAACGTCTTAAAATGATATGGCTCAGACACTTAAATTTCTTCATCATTAAGCCCTCAAGCCTGCACATTATTCCAGGGCTGTGTGAATGGGCAGTTAACTTGTCAAATGCTTTAATAAAATTTGATGTGATCTTATAGATTAAAAAACAGATAAGGGGCTAGAATATTTCGAGTTGCCAACTGTAAGCTAGAACTCCACAGTCCTTACTTATGGGTGCCTGGAAGTAACATTTATTCTGATTGCAGTCATTGTAAGACTGGGTATTGCAATATCATTCACCATCTTGCCATTTGTCATTTAAGTGTATTGAAAAACAATAAATTGCGTGCAATGAGGTGGAGCAGCATCTTCATGCATATATGTGAAGACTTCAAAAGAGTTGTGCCATAATATCATAAGGAAAATAATAAAAAATAAACAATTCAAGAACAGAAGGCAGTGTTACTTCCCACAGAAAATTTCTCTGTTCAACAAATAGTTTTCAAAGTTTTGTGGCAGTATATCAAGGGTGATTGCCAAATTAGTTCTGGACACTTGCTAATTATACTGTACCTCTACATGAAATGTTGAGAATGTGAAGAATTCTCAATCTTTTCTTTTAAAGTCATGATGGGGTCAGAAAAATGTGAACTAAAAGTAGTGGGGTGAGTAGAGGGAGAGAGGAAGGGTGACATACTTTGTCATTAAAGGAGAAAAAACAACTTGGATTTCAAGTATTCTGTTTTTTCACTGCTGCTAATTAAAATGCTCAGATAAGCATCATCAATTATGAAAAGTCAACCAGTTAGGAGCATGTCTGGGGCCTCTTCTCCAGCTGCCTTGCACGGGCAAGACATCAGGCACTTGAGTTTATTTATTTCAGCGAGGGGGGGAGAAAAAGACATCTTCTGCAAGAGTGTTGCTTCAAGGGAATGTCACTGCCCTAGTGGTAAACACAACTCATTTCTCGAGAGTGCTTCATTAGGGCCTAATGGTACCCACAAAATTCCCTCTGCAGTTCAACATGAGTCACCCCCTCAAAAATGTTTTATTCAGGAGAACTAAACAGTGATGTCCTCGTACAGCTTATTAATCAACGTGGAGCGGAGGGAAAGGTGTACACCTGGAGACCGCCGGAATGAGAAGCCACAAGAGAGTCGCCGTGATTTTATGCAGGATTTGGAGTAGGCCGTGCGAAAGTGGAGCCTGAGGAAAGGTCACAGGTGTCACCTCACACCAGTGCTTCACAGGGGAGAGTCAGCCGATGAATTGTCACCCGTACGGTGATGGCCAGGCAGATAAGGATCACCACACCTCGTGAGGACGCATATCAATTCTCCATCTGCGGCCTGCAAACTTGTTCTTCAAAGAGACACTCCTTCAGCACCAGAGAAGTGCCCACATTCTTTAAAGAAACATCAGTGTGTTCAGGATTAGTATATTCTTAAAGACTGCAGTAAGAAATCCTTTGTAATGGGAGCAGGCTAGATAAAATATTTTATTCTATTTATCAGTGCTGACAAGCCTTTTAAAATATATCCCTCACAATTAGCGTAAACTAAGTGGTAATCCTAAAGTGAACAATTATAACTTCATCTGGCCTGGTGTACTCATGAATTAATGAAGAACATGTGTCCTCTGAAACAGAATGTTTTTTTCTTTTGCCTTTTTCAAACACGGTTCCTGAAAAAAGAATTGTCTTATTACAGTACTACTACAGTCTTAATACAGACAGTAGAGCTCTCACCCTAATGTTGTATAAAGTACAGCCTAGTCCACAATATAATAATATACAACAAAATTGGTAGAATTACCTAGTCCCTGAGTGCAAGTATCAGCTCACCTTATATAGTATCACAGAGCTTGTTTTCCAATGAGAGTCAATGTAGACTGGGTTCCTCTTGTAAAAGCTTGCCAAGATCAAAATCCAGTGCTGTTGGGGATCTCAGCTGTCAGTGTCATCTTCACTGTTGATTGCGCTAGGTAGGCCTATTATTTGAATTGTGCATCTTCCTGGCCGAGATGACATTAAGATTGTCTCTGGAGGGTAACTCGTTCAAGCAAATTCTTCAATGTTTGAAGAGTAATTTTGCAAGGGGCCCACCTGAGAATCTGGGGATTAAGAACAGGTTCATGCGTTTTTTTTATTCAACAAACTTTTCCTATAACATAGAATAATGCTTTGTTAAATGGTTCGACATGGATGCTTTATGTTAATCAGTAGCTTTCTGTAAAATTATAGTGAAGTTGTTAAAGAATACCTCACAGAATTGTATCAGTAAATACTAATGACATGAGATTGTTTTACAAGGCAGTTGCTGAAGAAGATTAGTTCTATGTGATTTGTGTTAATCATCTGCCTACTTTACATTGATTTACGTGTGTTCCAATTTCACATTAACACAGAGAGCTATAATTGTTGTCATATAGAATATGAATCAAAACATTAATAGGATTTATTTTGATCATTTTGAAATTATCCTGATGATTGAAACATAAAAATATGATTTTATTTTTCCCTCCAATTCCTACAATGATCACACATGTTTTTTTTTGCAGAATCGTAATATTTTCCTTAGCTTTATGACAGAGTTAAGTAGATTAATTTTGTCATTCAGGCTTAACATACAGACGGAATTAAACATATTTTAAAAGAAATTAGAATTTGATGTTTTCATGGAAAAGAATGCAACCCTCTTACTTGTGTTAGAACTTTTATGTTCCTCTCCTAGTGTCAAACCATGAATGCGTTATATCTAGAATTTATCTTGGCCCATGATGTTTACACTGTACCAGATTTCGAATCTTGGTATTGAAGTCAATGTTTCCCTTTTGGTTATTTGTTTACTTTTTCTTTTTATGTTTTTACCTGAGTACATCAAAGTAAATTCAAAATCTTAAAAATGTATTTTTCATTTTTTTCGAGAACAACTTGAGGACGACAAATTGCACAAAAATGGAGGTGATGTATATTTTTTTGACGATTTTCATGTTTTTTTTTTTGTGCTATTTTGGCATTTTCCCATCGGGATTGTAGCGTTTCTTGTCGGCAATCCCATTTTCAATCTCCCATTACCTGTTCATTTATTCATCGAGATTGTTGGATGGTTGTTGTTCTCAACGTCACACAGCCTCATTATTATCTGTATCTTATTTGACACATTTGACACAAAGTCCAGCAGTTCTGTCATTTTCCATTTGCAATTGCATGTGGTGTGAATTTGGAGCGACAGTTGTTCGCTCAGGAGTGAACAGATGTTATGCCGTTGCATTCACAGGAAGTAGCCACTCCAAGCAGGACTGGATCATCCAGTGGCCAGCATCTGAGATGGGAAAAGAGAACAACCCTGTGTGCCAGCCTGAGCCCAGCCAGTGGATTCGCTTTCACCTTTCCCAGAGCCCTAAGGTCCAGTCCAAGTACAACCAGCAGTACGGCCACAGCCCTCAGACGCTGGCGACCTCATACACGCACGTAGACCGGCTCACAGTCGAGGCCCACCTTGGACTCTTCGCACCCCTGGAGGCAGGGCATCGCTCTTTGCCCCCCTCGCCTCGGCAGAGACACTTTGCCCACACCCCCCCGAGAACCCCCCCCGTTGTGACGACGATGACGCCCCCAGGCACACCGCCCGTCAGGAGAAGGAACAAAATGAAGGCCCCGGGGACCCCGCCTCCTGCCTCCCGCAAGCTGATCCACCTGCTCCCAGGGTTCACGGCTCTGCACCGCAGCAAATCCCACGAGTTCCAGCTCGGGAACCAGGTGGATGATGCACAGACCCCAAAGTAAGGCAGCCCCGTCTGCTCCCTCCCATCTGCGCCCATCCGCATTTCACCAATGCACGCTACTGAGGCAGATGCACACAGTCACGGGCATCTCGAACATCTAGGGGAACCGCAACCAATTTCTCAGACCGGTTATTACATCTTAGTAACACAATTATTTAATTGAAAGTATCGCAAAATTTTACAAATTATGAGCTAAACACAAAAACACAAACATTGTGATGGTAGTGGAAGTCACCATGTTGTCGCGAACCGCCGGTTTCCTCAAGAGTTTGTGCGAATTATGATGAGACGTAGCCCTTCCTGCTCACTAGTCCCTGTAATGACTAATATAATGTGATGTACGAGCAAATAAGTAAAGGTTGTGCAGCAGGCATTTCACTGCAAAAAATGTTCCAACACACAGTTAACAAGTACGTTTTTGTCTGCAAAACTGTCTCAAAGTTAAGAGCAGTATTTTTATTGGATTAAAAGAGATGTATTCACAAGCCTGCTTGCAATAAGGCACTGCGCATACCTGGAAATTTGGTCTATTTTGTGATGTAAATTGGAGGTTTTATATATATATACTGTATATAAATATGAAAACGTTGCAGTTCCCCTTTAAAGAGTGGCATGTTCATGGTTTTTAACCTTTAATAATTTTTTGCCGTCATTCTGTTTGTATTTTCACTTTAAAACCTTTATACAATACTAGGTCATCCAAAACTAGCAGACATCAATATACTAAATGTATATCTGAAAAATCAATATCAATACATATCATTATAAAAGTAATTTCTCTCATTTCAGAAGAGGAATATGTAGATACTGACATATTCCTCTTTCAAAATGGGAGAAATTACATTTTAAAAAGGTGGTGTGAAAACGAACGGAAAAAAAGGACTTAATGCAGTAACCAGCTCCTGGTTTCCGAAGTGCTGTTGTCTGTGATTGAACTACAAGTGTTATAGAATTTGTTTTAATGTATGTGCCAGAGGCCAGAGTGGGAGCTGAGTGAGATACGCAGGTGAAGAGAACAGGCCCTGGAGGAATGGAAGCCATTTTTATCATGTCATTAGTGACATTGCCCTAAGATTGCCCACATGAAACAAGGCATCCCTTGTTGCAGCCATCTGTTTTTTTTCAGTGCTGCCATTCATAGTCCTGAAGAGATGCACTGGGACAACTCAGGCAGCATAAAAATTGATTACCAGTCCCGGTGCCTTAAGACACTACAGACAAACGTTTCTGCACAGTCATATGTGACTTCACAGACAACACTTTGAAGATATATTCTTCACATTACAAATCAGACGAAAGTCAGTTGACAACATATAATTTTTTATATGGTTATATAAAAAATATATGTGGTTATATATAGGTTATGTGCCTCAAAACAGTGAAAGATTGATCGAAACAGAGTGATTTCTTACAGAAGCTCTACATTTTGTTTCCTTTCTTATAAGGGAACTTAAAAGTTACAAGTATCCTTGCTTAGGTGAGCAAAGCAGAAAAATCCTTGTCTGGTAAGTATAGTGGATGATCCACTCTTGTGGTACTGCTTCAGGGAGTTTGGTGCATAAACTCTTGACATGGATGTGATCAGTGTTCCAGGATGATTTGTGATTATGAGTTTCTTTGCCATTTCCCCAGCTTTCCAGATGAAATTAAAAAAAAAAATCACAGCTCTCTTTGACCTCTGCCTGAACTATGGACATTTATAATAATAGTGGCTACCCACCCAAAGAGAGTTCCCTGCTCTCTTGTTTACCAAATTCTAAGCACCAGTATATACCAATATACTACCAATACACAGCAAACACACAAACCCCCATGTGAATATTTACTTACTCTTTTCAATCCAAACCATTTAAAAAAATCTAATTAATCACAAAAAGACTGGACAGTTTTTACAGTTTTGATCATTTTTTCCCATTATTTATTTAAAATGTATGAACAATAATTTAATAATTTCCCCTCTGTTAAATTAACGTATTTGTACTCAAGTTCAGCACATAATGTTGAATTCGTGAATCTGCTGACAATTGTCCTCTGAAAGGCATCTGTTAGTTCTTTAGATTTCCTCCTATGTGTTTTTGAAAATGTTTTGGGTTCTTGAAGTGTGATAAGAAAATACAAAAATATATTTTTTTACTTATTCAACATTAATTTTGTTGGTTCGATAGTAGTGTACAAAATACTATTTCCCTGCCACTGACAAGCTCTTGGTATGCATTGCTACAGGTTGATTTTTCACTGAGGCCTGACAGGTAGCCCTTTAGACCTTATGTGAAAAAGTTACATATCATTAAAGAGCCCCATCATTTTCACGCTTAGCTTTGTCTTTCATTTGTGATACTGTAGGTTTCAGTTAATATAATTTTCACAGTGTACCCACAAAGCATATATTTTTAATAGCAATAATGTGTTACTGCAGAAAACATTGCTAATGTGGATTAATGCATTTCTACTCCAGGGGAAAGAATTGCTGTAATTCATTCGCATACATTGCTAAAAATTTAATTTAAAGAATAATAAAACGTTTTACTTTCCTTTGAAGGTTTAACAAAATAAACTTGAAACAAAGCAACGTTTTGAGTCCAGGAGTAAATTGCTTTTATACAGTATAGCAGAAAAGATTCATATTAACTAAAATTTTGGCACAGATTCAGAAAAGCCAGTGTTTTTTTTAATTATGTTCATGCTGTAATTAGTTCAGTTTTTTCCAGGAGTCACTTTGTGCTTGTGTAACCCGATTTCTCCCAACAATACATACTGTTCTTTATATTCTTTGCCTGAATCTTCGCATTCTTGGAATAGATGCTCATGTGTAGCTTCAGAACAAAGCCGCATTTATTTCTAGCTCTCCATTCGTCTCTTAATTAATGAGACTAATGTGCAAGTCTCCCTTAGCCTTTGTCAACCTTTGGCATCTACATTTCTTTATAATGAGGTCTCTTATTACAATAAAAGCACACAGAATATTAGTATAAATGGGGCATTTTATTTTTTAGTTACTTTGAATGCAACATTAAACACAAAATTAAACAGCTTCCAGTCCAGATAAACATTGTAAATATAAATATCATACTTTCGTATACCTGTTTATTTAACTTGATAAATGTACGTATACAGAACTCCTTTAAAATGTGCTACATCAGCATTTTTTACAGGAAGTAAAACATTCAAAACTCAGCTTTGTGACTCTTTAAATTAATAGCAGTGTTCACATTCTCTGACTTTCTATCAAAAACAATAAAACCCTAAGATAGACTCAGGTCTATGACATTCCCATTCTAAATGAGAATATTTCAACAGATTTTGGAACAAATATTTATGTAATATTTACTTAACCATAGTATTAAATCTCACAAATTCATGTGTTCAAATAACACAGACTGCATTCTTTTCCACCTCCTTATTTGCTGTTCTTAAAGGGGTTGTGGCTTTTAAGAATTTTTTATAAGAATTTAAGGTATAATATTCTCTCTTGCTCTCCTCAGCCATCACTGAAGTGAAATGTCATCCTGCATGGTGATTTTTTAGAGTTATTTCAGTATCGGTCATGGTGACAATGTAAGAAAATCACCAGAGCAATATGAGATCAGTGCACTGCATTCTATCAATTGAATTAATTTTCTTCTTTCAAGGAATGAAACATCTTATGCTTAACTGCAGTTAAACTGCGTTTAATGTAAAATCAAAAACAATTTACATGAAAAGGAATTAGTTTCTAATGTGCAATACCTGAGAAAAAGGAATAGCCCGTTTTTGTAAATTCTTTCACAATTACTCTTTTTTTAGCAGCAGCATTCTTGGAGCAGAACAGTGCTTATTTGGGAAATTTTACTTTGCTCACTGATAACAAAGGCCTTTATCTGGTTTTCTGCCTACAGGAAAATGGGAACCTGCAATGCCTAATGAAATAGGAATTTTACTCATTAGTTTTCTTTTTACTCCTCTTCAAAGGAGAGAAAGACCTATCGGAATGAAATACATTTCATAGCTACACCTAACCTGTAACATTATGATTCATTAAAAAATTGAGATTTCTGTTTTTTTTTAGTCATTTCAAAATGAAGGGAACTGTAGTTTATTAGGGGTACTGCTTTTATATAAATCTGAGAGGCAACTTTTGTTTAATTTCTCCTTGCATTATATGAGGATTTAAAGCTTTTCTGTATATGATGCCCAGAAAGAATTGTTCAAGTCAATTAAATTCAATTCGATTCAATTTATTTGTATATAGCGCCTTTCACAACAAGGTCCTGTTGATTAAGAAATACTGTAAACCTTCGCATAACATAGCACTTTTAAAACCATAGTTGCTTTATTTTTTTACAACTGTGCATGTCTTTAGGCAGGAAACTGAATCCTCAGAATCCTTTGGTAAGGTTTGGTCATTTTTAGAATTGTTTATACATCCCTAAAAATCCTAGAATGCATCTGTTTAAATAACATTCCGTCAAAGCTATTAAAATATTGATAGGGTTAGGGGCCCCATGAATCACAGTATGTAAAGCCAATATACAGAATCCCAACTGCGGCTTACTATAGACTACGTTAGTATTCTCTTAATTTTCTGAGTTATATGTGGAGTGTACACTAAATGGAAGTTTTTAAGTGAAGTTTGGGAGGGATGACGACAATCAATCCACTTTCACCCCAGCTGTTCTAAATAATTTCTTAGTATATAAACTTAAACTACAGAAACTAAAATTATCCTGCAGCTAGGATCACACCTTTCCCTTTCCCTAAACGACAGACTCATTTTCTTCTAAATTCTCTTTATTCATTGTAGGATTCATTTCACACCTCTCTTCACCTCTCCTGACTTCACACTACCTGATTGGTCACTCCGTCTGTCCCCTGCTCCAACCTCCTGCCCCTCCTCTCCCGGCTTCTGCTGCTACATTACCTTTGCTTACTGGCCTGTCTTTCTCACACCTGAAGAAGGCTCCACGGCCAAAACGTTGTGTTTTCTTTCTTCTCTTTTCACCATGGAATAAACCTATTAC